CCGGGCCTGGGCTGGGCTCAATGTAGGCCGGGCTGGGCCAGCCTGACCCATTTACACCCCTACCTATAACCTCATACACAAACTACTCAAACTCCGTACTACTAAACCAATTGACTTATATTTTAAGGTTTTTTTTATGTAATATATACGTCAAATAATTTTTTTTTCTTATAACCAACTTTATATAAAATACAATAAGGAGAGTAAACGGTTAATAACTCAATGTATTATTAAGGACGTATCTTATGTGTTACGTAGATAACTTTTTTTTTTTAGTACAACAAAGGAGCAGAGCCTAAAAGAAAAACTAGGAAATCAAAATGTCAGAATCCAACAGGGGACCCAACTCAATAGGAGTTGCTGGTAACAACAAAAAGTCCTCAAAAGCAGTGAAAGAACTCTTGGCTAGGTGATCAACACACTTGTTTCCTTCTCTTCCTACATGCTGGAAAGCAACTTGCCAGTTCAAAGAGCACCAACGGTTAATGCTGAAGATAATTTGCTGACGAGGGGAGTCATTAGTTGGGTTAGAGAGATAACTTTAGCTTGAGATTAAATTTTAAAAATATGAATCAAAGAATCAATATTTAAAAAAATAGAAAAATACATAATTAATTTGGGTAAAATTTAAAATATAACTTTTAAAAATTTAAATTGTAAAAATGTCCATAATTAATTTTAGAAAAATAAAATTTAAAAAAATTCAGAATGACATACTATTTAAAAAAGAAATAGACTAAGAAATTAAATAACTCAAAATAATAAAATCTAATATGTTGGGTTATGTTTAACAAGAGAGGTTATTGTAGTCATGAGAATATTAAAATATGGTTATTTATATCCTATATATTATGTAAAATTTCCCCACTAAGTGAGAATCAAAAAATACCACCCACCTAGTGGTATTATTTCATGGGATTCTTATTCATAATTATAATTTACAGGAATCTCATTTTTTTAAAAAAAATTTAAGAATACTTGTACTAAATTTGGATAACTAGAATTCTCAATATGAATTTTTTAAAAATTTAAAATCTATCCTTTTACGGAGTTTTACCAAACCGTCTATATATGGTAATCTGAAAAGTGATTCTGGCACTGTTGGGTTATGTTTGACAACATTATAAATAGGCCTTCTTCATCACATGAAACCCATTTACTTGGAATTGTTGTTTAGCCTTAGGGAAAACTCAGGCCCGTTTCTAGAAATTATTTTCTTCAGGATCCTCAGGCCCGTTTCTAAAATTTCTCTCTCTTGGTTGTTTTGGTGCAAATCCGCAGGCCAAATTTACGGGTAAAGAAAACCTAGCAAAGTATTCTGTTTGGATAACAAATCGAAGAACGCAAGAAAATTTAAAACAAGAGACTATATTACAACATATGGTATATATTTTAAGAGTGTTGGTGGTAGTGGATAAGAAATTGTTGGAACTCCTCAAGTTTTCTTTCCATTTACTGAAATGCAATGAGATGTAGCTAGCAACTAATACGATTAATACTACCTTAATGAGTTATGATGTAATTTTTAATCATTCTTGTTTTCTTTTCTTTTTTCTTGTTGCAAATTTTCGATAGATTATTAAGAAAAAAATCGGAAGAAATGCCCCAATTATATAACTTGCAATTTGGATCAGATTTACTAGATATATAACGATTTAATAGTACAATCACACCATTGAAAAGGATTCCAAAAACGGCATTCCTTGTGTCTGTTATACTATAACAGTTAAGATTTGGCTCAAGCTCAAAAGTAAACATAAGGAACAGTGACTAATGTACCACATATTAGTCATCTTTTTATCAGTATGTCACGCGAATAGTAATATTTGTCAAAATGTCACGTGTCCAAGTCCACTCTACAGTAGTTAGCAAACTCATTTTGTTGATGTGACATATTTTTGATGGTCACATAATTCGCTACTGGATGTAACGAACTATATGATAATAAATATCCCTCTGCTGTGACAAAAGGTGGATACGTGACAGTGTTACACAAGTTTGCTACACTCAGCGAACTATGTGAAACATGTACTGTTTATAATGGCAAAGCTACCTCTATTTAAAAGACCCTGTCTGCGTGTATGTGCCAAAAAGAAAAAAAAAGACACCGCTGTCAGTCTGTCACTTAATCATAAAAAAGCATCTCAAGTCTAAGTATAATAACATCATTTATTCGGAAGCTAAGAGCACGAAGTGTTGGAAACTTTATATGCACGATGAGTAAGGGTCAGGCTTAGGAAAATATAGGGGAATCATTTCTCTTCGAGAGCAACTTTGCAAAAGGTAAATAAAAGGTTGCATGTAGTTCGCTAATTAAGCAGCGAATTTATGCATATTTCAATAATTATTTTTAGCTAGTTCGCTATCACTTCTAGCGAATTTGTATGAGATTGTCATATGTACAATTTTTGTCGGAGCAGAGTAATATTTATTTCCACCCAGTTCGCTACACCTAATAGCGAATTTGGTGTCCTCAAAAAACACGCTACATCAGCAAACCAAGTTCGTTAACTGCTGTAGCGAACTCAGACACATTATATTTTGACAAATATTACTGTTCGCGTGACATATTGGTAAAAAAGTGACCAATGTGTGATACATTGGTCACTGTTCCTAATCATAAACTAACAGATATAAAAGAAATTGACATTACAGAGCTAGTATTTATGATTAATTTCCATAGTGTCTCAGTTATTTAAATACTTTTTTAGAAAATTACTATTATTAATTAAAATAAATATAGAATGAGAAAAATATTTGTCTTTTTTAATAATATAACTATTATTTTAAATGAAACGATCATATTTTGATACATATTTAATTGTCTTTTATATATTCTCCCTTTCACAAAATAAAGAAAAGAGATAATATTACGGAGAAGAGAAAAGTCAAAAATCAACTAAAGTACAATAGTTTTAGTTAAAATAACACAAAATTATATGGGAGAAGTTATACTTACAACCTATTTTCTTTTACAACTTCTTACAATTAATATCTTAACCGTTGATTTTCGTCAATCAACGGTTAAGATTTTCGCAAATAAAATTTATTAATTAATTATTAATTGTTATAAATCTTAATCGTTGATTGACAGAAATCAACGGTTAAGATATTAGTTGTAAGAAATTGTAAAGGAAAATAGATTGTAAGTATAACCTTTCTCAAATTATATTATTTAAAATGATAAATATTTTTCTCATATACAATAACAACTACCAAATATCAAGCATTAAACTCAGGTACCGCATATTTCTGAAATCAATAAATTACGCTAATACTATCACTCGAATTATATGGTAACCCTTTGTATGAAAAGAAGTCATCATATTATAATAGATTTCACAGATTCCAACGAAATAGAGGTAAAAAGGATCTCGATCCCCAACAAGAGTCCAAAACAGTCGAATTGATGACATGAATCTCTTTGTTGTAATTGTGCACGTAATCTAATCACGAGTTATTGGCCTGTCTCTTTTAGGATAATACGTACATACTTAACTTTTTCTTTCCCAACAAACTTAGATATAATGTATCAAAAAAAAAAAAAAAACTAAGATCTTAGTGCCATCATATCAAGCCAAAATCACGCCTCTTATTTAAAATAAAATGTAAGATACGCGTTTTTGTCATTTAAAACTTCTAGTTGCTTGTACTCTTTGTGCTAATATTTAATCCAGAGTTAATAATAAAATCATAATTAAAAAGCAGAACTTGCGTCGTGTCAAAAAAAAAATCTGCTCCCAATATTTTTTTTGTTATAAAAAATAAATTTATTATCTATATAGACATAAAAAAATATTGAATTTATATTTTTTTTCTCACATAAATTTTATACACTTTTAAATATGGGTAATGTGTTCCTCCTTTCATATGACACAATCAATTTTCCTACAGACACATAAAAGTAGGTCTATTAATTCTTTTACTTTCTTTTATTTTAAAAATAGTGGTCCCCACAATTGTTTGTCTCTATGACATGATTTAAGAATTTTCCTACAATATAATAATTGTTTTCCCTTTAAATATATATAAAAAAATTATTTTTTATAACAAAAAAATATTAACGCTTGCGAAGAAAACTCAAAGTCAAAACATACATACCTCTTCCCAATGTTATTAAAACTGGTCCGGTCATTGATCCGGTCGAGGTACTGGGACACTGGTTCAACCAGTGAGTCACTGGTTCAACCGCATGACCCGGTAACTATATATAATTTTATAATTTATATTAAAAAATTATAAACACACTCAAATATTTAACCAAAAATGACAAAAAAATTCAATGTTTTAATATAAAAAAGAATAAATCACATATTGTTATACAATAAAGGATCAAACAAAAATATAATGATCGTGATACGAGGCTTTAGGTTCAGAAAATGACATCTCTAATTATAAATCAAATCAAAATTTTCTACATAGTGTATAATTAAGATAATATTAGTGTTGTAGGTACATAGCTTATGTAAGTTAATAAGAAATAAATATATTTAAATATGTCTGATATTTTTTTTTGAAAAAAAATTTAAAAGTTTTTTGGGACCGGACTGAGTCACCGGTTAACCGATCGGATCACTGTTTTTATAAAAACTGGCCGGGTCAGATCGGGTCGCATCGATTCTGATGCATGGCCGATCCGTTGCTTGAACCGGACTAATTATATGACCAATTTATCGATTCACGGATCAACACGACCAGATCGGTTCGATTTTAATAAATCTGAGTCTTCCGATCAATTCTGACCACCTTTTCCTACGCGTATAAATATTCAACGTAACCGATCACAAAAGGCAGAAATAATCACACATTCACACCCACAAAAGCAAAGACCCTTTTGCTCTTTTTTTTTCAAACGTAAAAAAGAAAAAATAATAAAAATTGGAAATTTTTCCAAAATATTGCATATTCCAAGATCTAGAAGACAACAAAACAACCCTTGACCTAACCTTTGGAAACTCCGTCACAGCCATCGATTTATATCTTCATATCCCCAACATTATGCTTTGCGCAGTAACAACATTCTCCAACGGTCATGAACGGCGTCGTCGCCTCTCCCTCCGGTGACGGCACCGTCAAGCGCAGGCTAAGCCAACAAACAAAACCTGCTAACGGCGTTAACGTGGTAGATCCCTCTTGTGGTGGTGTCATGGCGAAAAACTCTCTGCACTATTACTCTGAGGCTTCGTTCATGAAATGGACCTATTCCGATGCGGTACACGTGGCGAATCACCATTGGATACCTTGCTTGTTCGCTCTGGGGCTTCTATTTTTCATGGCCGTGGAGTACACGCTCCGCATGGTCCCGCCGTCATCGCCGCCGTTCGATTTGGGTTTCATCGCCACGCGCTCTCTCCATCGCGTGCTCGAGTCATCGCCGGAGCTCAACACTCTCTTGGCCGCACTCAATACGGTACTTCGTTTCTCTTTTCTTCAGATCTGAATGAATAATCTGAGTTTTTTTTTTTTTTTTGGGACGTTTTGGTTATGGTTTCTCGGTTTTGGATTTCTTGGCTTGTTTCTTTGTGGGTAATCTTGGAATCGAATCTTTTTGAAGGAAATGGAAATGGGTTGGTGTCAAAATCTGATATTTTTTTGAATTTTTACAGTGTTTGTGCATTTATGAGTTTTAACATTGGTAGGTGTTTGTGCTAATGCAAACGAGCTATATCTTATGGACGTGGTTAATTGAAGGACGCCCAAGAGCAACTATCTCAGCACTTTTCATGTTCACATGTCGTGGGATTTTGGGGTACTCCACTCAGTTACCATTGCCTCAGGTGATTCATTGAAATAACCTTAACCAACCAAATTTTCTATTTTCCATTTTTTGTTCTTCTTATGGTTATTATTGATGATGAAATCTTTTTTTGTTTTGTTAATGAATAGGGGTTTTTGGGTTCGGGTGTGGACTTCCCTGTTGGGAACGTGTCTTTCTTTTTGTTTTTTTCGGGGCATGTGGCGGGTTCGGTGATTGCGTCGTTGGACATGAGGAGGATGCAAAGATGGGAACTGGCGTGGAGTTTTGATGTGCTCAATGTTTTGCAATCTGTGAGGTTGCTTGGTACAAGAGGCCATTACACTATTGATTTGGCTGTTGGGGTCGGTGCTGGCATTCTTTTTGATTCTTTAGCTGGCAAGTACGTAGATAGCAAGAGGAAACACGATTTGATTGAATGAACAAAATTGACAAAGCCAAAAGGGATAAAGGATAATGGGAAAAGTTGACTGTTTTCAGAGAGTGATATATGAAACGTAAAAGAGAAGGGAAGAATTTTAACCGTAAAGAAAACAAAGAGAAGGCTAGAGAGAGATATAATATTCGGTAGCAGTCTTAATTACCGTGTAATTTTTAAATTTGATTTATTTTCCACTAATGGATTCTGCGTTGGAATCTCTTGCTGTGCTTGCTTGTCATATTGCTCTGGCGGTTGCTCCGGCCTTGTGAACGGCAATGCATGTTAACGGAACTTGATGGTAACATCAAATTTTTAAGATGTTTTTAAAGTTATTTCGCAGTTGTAAATTTTTTTGAATGTGTTAAAGACAAGTCCGTTGAAGATATTCGAAATTAAGCTGGTTTGAATTCACATCTGAATAATGGGAGGAATAAAAACTTACAAGAACAATTAAAGGATTAATTGATAATGTTTGAATTGAAGTAGTCAAAATTTTGATAAATCAGTGAAAAAATAAAAATAAAAATAAAAAATTGTTGACTTGAATCTTTTGTTTGGTTGGTTGTTGTGTCGTACAATGTATATATTATGGAATGAACGAAGTAATGATTCTCATATTAAATAATTTTATTTTTTATATATAGATAATGGGAGAGGTTATGTTTACTATAAATCTTAATTGTTGATTTCTGCCAATTCAACGGTTATAATTTATTGAAAATTAATAATTAATTAAAATTATGACCCAATAAATTATAATCGTTAAATTAGCGAAAATCAACGGTTAAGATTTAGTAGTAAGAAGTAATAAGAAAAAGAAGTAGTAAGTATAACATCTCCCGTACATAATACCTAAAAGTGTCTGATTTTTAGATTTTCTTTTATATAATTTTATATGGGTTCTATATATTTTTATGTATATATAAGAGATAAAACAATCTGGTATAAAAATATGAAAAATTATTTTCTCATTTTAATGAGATAATTATCTCATATTACTCTCACGTAAAAAGTTGTGCTATAACTTTTTTTTCTTTCTATTTTAAGGAAAAAAACTATTTTCATGTTACATGAGATAAGTTTTCTCTCTTATATATCTTTCGATAACTGTGTCACTTTTTTTTTCAGGTGGTGGAGCCCACAAATTTGTCTCTATGACATGGTATAACTTATCTCCTTTAACATGAGATTAATAAAATCCTTTTAATGGGTGGTGGGCCCACCATATTATATGTCTATGATAGGAGATACTTATCGCCAATAACACGAGAGTAATAGAATCCTAAAAATATTTATCCCTTGTGGAATTTTATATTAACTGTTTTTATAAATCAAATGTTAAGAAAGCATTAAAAGTATAAAAGAAAATGGAGAGGGAGGATTAAAGAGTTCAAAGGGTAAGTACAAGCCACATTTATATGGAATTAAATGAATGGGCATAAATTGACATGTACTCTCTGTCAAGGGGCATGTAGAGAATTGAATTCAAAATTAGTGGAACATGCTTCCTTTTCTCAGGTGAGGTGCAGTGCCAACGCTCTGCACGCTGTTTCCAAATAATACTATTATTAACTCGCGCTGTACACTTCTTCTCAAATAATACTTTTGTTATTAATGCAGCACTTCCTCTTTAAATATTGCCAAGTTATATGATAGAATGCACTTCCTCTTCAAACATTTGATTTTTGGTTTGGTGTTGAAATTTTTGCACGTAAGAAGACTTACTGGAATAAATTATTGTTTTTAAAACTGATCGTAATTTGAGAGATTAGTTAGTTTTTCTTTTCTTTTTTGGATATTGAGATATTAGTTTCATACCTAATACATGGAAAAACTAAAAAAACATTACTCTGTTCATTTAAAAAAAATTGTTACTTCATTAATTTTGGTCTATTTCATATTATTTATCACTTAAAAAATTAATATTAAGTTTTATTTTATCTCATATCGTTATATTTATATTGAAGAAATGATTTAGAACATTAATATAATAAATAATAATTTAGGGGGTGTATTAGATTGAGATTTGCCCAAAAAAATCCATTAGTATTCGATTAGGATTAAAAAAAATCACGTGGTAATCGATTAGGATTTTAAAAAATTATTTTAGAGTCCGTCCAAATCTATTGGTATTCAATCAGAATTTTAAACAAAGAAAAAATAATCTTGTGGTATTTAAAAATGTTACGATTGTAATGAATTTTCTATTTGTATGGATTTCTTGAGACTTTTTACTGAGAAATATAAATAGGATGTCTCTCTCACAATCTCACTCTAATCCCTAGAATTTCTTGAGATTTATCTATTACAGTGTCTTCTTCTTTCTTTAGTGGGTTGACCCGTTTGAAACCAAGTTTCGCCATGGGAGCTTCGCCAAAGCTCAAAAATAACATATTTTTGAGCAATTTTCATCACAAAACAACCCAGAAAAAACAACCCAACAAGATTTTAATCTAATTCATCTCAAAAATAGCATATTATCTAGCAACTTTTGAAAGTTTAAGCTATTTGTTATGATTTTTCAAGCTATGGTTATGATTTTTCTTGGTAAGAAAATGTGTGATTTTTGTATTAAAAACAACATAAAATAGTGGGAAAACAACAAGGGAACAAAACCCCCCAACCAATTTCTATTTTACATCAATGAAACAAGATCGATTTAAAGAAAGATTGAAACTTTCATAATATAAACCCTATATTTTATAATAATACATTTATGAACGAAATTCTTTCGCTATATAGAAAACAATTTCAAACAATTTTTGTGTCAATATATAACTAAAAATTTGCTTTTCAAAATGCTTAAAGCAATTTAAGATTTCAATATATTGATTGAAAATAATTTGAGAAATTTTCTAAACTTTCATGTAATAAAACCCATAAATTCAGATTCAAAATTTCTTGGATTACTCAATGAAAACATGCATATGATATATGGTTAGAAAACTCTCATCACGTAGAACAAAAACTCCAAGATTTACAGGATCAATTGCAAAAAATTCCAAACAAAAATTTATCATGAGTTTCACTAATTCAGAAAATTATATTACGTTTTACATTTTAACTTTTTTTATTTACTTTTGTAATTTTGAATGTTTGTTAAAAATTCATATTGTCCTTTCAATTCTTATAAATTCTATTAAAATCCTTTAAAATCCAATCTTACGAAATCTTGAGTGTAAAAAAAGTCTTTAAAGTCTCTTCAATTCTGAATAGTCTTTTAAAATCTATAAGATTTTTTATCTCAAGAAAGTCTTTTAAAATCTTAATCCAATACACTTCCTTAGTCTTTTCTATCATTGTTGTGATTTTTAATATATTTCATCTTATTTTTTCTTCAATATTTTCCTTATTCTATTTTTTATACATTTTTTTATTATTTAGACACATAAAACATTTGATTTTTTTTGCTATTTTTTATTTTAGTCTTTGATTAAGTGTTATAAGTTTTCATGATTTTTGATCTTATTTTTTTTCTTTATCGCTTTATTTTCTTCTTTTAAGAAGGGTAGAATAGGTATATTTAGGGGGTGTATTGGATTGAGATTTTAAAGGATTTCAATGAATTGTTTTTGGACAAAAAAATTCATTGGTATTCAATTAGAATTTTAAAAGATTGTAAAAAAGTCACATGATATTCGATAATGATTTTAAAAGATTGTTTTAGAATTCGTTGGTATACAATCAGGAATTTAATAAAAGGAAAAATAATTTTGTGGTATTCAAAAATTTGACAATTTTAATGATTTTTCTATTAGTGTGAATTTTGTGAGACTTTTTAGTGAGAAGTATAAATAGCATATCCTTCCTACAATCTCATCCTATCCCCTGAGTAGGGGTGAAACTAGGCCGGGCTAGCGTACAGGGGCCTACGTCAGGCCAGACCTGACATAGTATATTTCGTAAAATAGGCCGAGTTTGGCCCTTGAAAAAGCTTGTTTAATAAAAAGGCCGTAGGCCCACTTTCACAAGGCTGGCCTATAAGCCTACAGGCCGGCCTATATCGTACTATTTATTTTAAATAAAATAAAATAGAATAAGTATGCCTTGAAGAAAAAACAAAAGATATAAATTTAATCAATTGTAATTATTTATAACTTAATTATATTCGATTATATTTTTCTTATGTAGGAGGAACCAAGATCTCAACATGTTAGATTATGTATATGAATATATTAAAATGTTTTCAGGAGATGTTATACTTATCACAAGCATCATGATGTGTTTGTTGGATTCATGAAGTTATTCTAATTTACATAGTATGGATTTGTTTGTTGGATCTGATGAAATATATGTTATTTAGTTTGAACATTTTGCTTTTGAAAATGTTTTAAATGCAAATTGTATGAGTTTTGTTGTGATTCATAATTCTGTTTGTACGTTGAAATTATGATTTTTAGTTTAGCAACAGAATTTGAGTATTTTGTAAAGTTGATTCATGATTCTGCTTGGAAGTTAAAAATTAGAGTAAATACCATTTTTGGTCCCTAACAAAAAACAAGGTTCCCACTTTAGTCCTTTACAAAAAAAAATTAGTCAGTTGGTCCCTAACAAATTCAAAGTGGACCCATTTAGTTGAAATCGTGGTCCCTCACAATTTCAAAAAAGACCCATATTAGTCCCTCAAAAGGACTAAAATGGGTCCATTTTGAATTTGTCAGGGACCAATTGACTAATTTTTTTTGATAAGGGACTAAAGTGTGGACCATGTTTTTTGTTAGGAACCCAAAATTGTATTTACTCTAAAAATTAACAGGCTAACGGGCTAGGTCGGGCTATTTATTTTTTTATAAACGGGTCAAACCAGGCTATCAGTTAGACTCATACCAGACTTGGGCCAGGCCAAATTAAAAATTTTTTGTGTAGGCTTGAGCTTTTCGGTGCATAGCTTGGCCCAACCCAACCCACTTTCACCCATACCCCTGAGGTTTCTTTATTCTAGTGTTTCACAATCAATCATATCATTTTTTTCAAAGCCAAGATATGTTCTTTTTTTACTCTCATATATTTTTCTTTGATTTTGGCATTCTTCTTTATGTTATTCTTCTTCATAATTAATTGATGATTTATGGTTGTGCTTGTTATCTGTAATGATGTGTTACATTTTATTTTATTTTTATATAATTGTAGCACTGTTAATACGTTGACGGTAAACAAGTTTAATAAGCATTATATTGCCGATAAAAATTTCTCAAGACTTTTTATGCACCATATTAGGCACACAATGAGAGACAGATTTTCAATATTAATTTGTTGAATAACAAGAAAAAAAATCGTTGTTGCTATTGCATAATTTGTTTTTGT